GATCGTGCACGGGAATTCCACGATCCAAATTTCGGATTTTCAGAGCCGTGCACCAAGTAGAACGCATTAAATAAACTAGCAGGAATGTCCACAGTTACACACAATCCAAAATCCATAGAAAACAGGTACAATTGGTTCAAAATTTTCACGAAATTGTTGAAAACATTTTGCCCACTCCACGAAAGTTCCCGCCATTTTGATGGATCAAGCAGCTCATTAATATTCTATTTTGTGGCTATCGGAGATTGGAGATTGAAGCCGAAACCTATACTCGCCCGGGGCACAGAGTGCCCCAGCGAGTAATTAGCAATCTTTTGGCATGTGTTACTGCGTATTCTAGAGTTAATTGTTTAAAATTACCAACCAAACTCACCCAAAATCAAAATGTCTTTAAATACCAATCAACTTTAATCCCAACGAGCTTTTACTTCAAAGTTCCAACACACAAGTTTAATATCGTCATGCATCGAGAATGTTCGACCAATTCACTATTACAAGCCCAGCTAATTGAAATACCTGCATGTATAAGCCATAGGCAGTTAACTATAAATAGTCGAGAACAATAAATGATTGGAGATCATGGAGAGCTGTGGAATTTGTAAACAAAAGAGTAAGACAACAACATTTTTTGCCCTTATCTCTATAATTATGCAGCTGCATTTAATTTGTACAGCCACTTATAGTTGGTGATGTAGGCAATAACAAATATCCTCATGATACTTGAACATCCCGTGCTTTCCGAAAACGCTCAGGTACATTATAACTCCATGACCGCAAGCGATTCGTTGGGTTTTTTTTACAATTAAATATTGGTCATAGCAGTCATAAACCGATTGAAGATAAACATTGCTGCTCTCACGCAGCTGGTTATGTGCGACTTGCTGTACAGACAGGTGTATAAAAAGGGGGGGGGGGCTTCCAACAAACTAAAAATGGCTCGCGCACGAAATTTTAAGCTTTAATCGTATTTTGAGTTAATGAGTGAAAAATGTGTTTGGTGTTTAATTGCTGCACGAAATTTCAGAAAATTTGCTTCAGTTTAAGCTCTTTATAACTATTCACGCAAACTTACATTATTCCCTAAAAAATCAGCCTTTTTGCATTCTTAATTACAATCTCGTACCCAGGGCTAGCCGCGAGTGCCTCCAACTCGCGGCTAGCCTTGGGTACGAGGTTGGGCTTAATTAATTTTTATTTTGCCCTTAAGAACTACTTCTTAGAATCTTATAAGGGTCAGTGAATTTATGGCTTTGAATTATTATTGTGATCAGTAAATTGTATATAATTTGTATATATAAATTTATAATCCTAAGATATTTTATATATTTTTCTTACTTAATACTCTAAGTAGCTTTTAGACTATTTTTGTGTGTTGGTGTTATGTGCTCAGGTGAATATTATGTTTGTGATGTTACTCTGAGTGTGCATCCACACCGGGAAAGCTGAAAAGTTAGCTTAGCAACGGTGGCGACCCGCGACCTTTGGGATACTCGGCCAATGCTCTGCCAACCGAGCTACAGTACGCGTGGTCAAGTCGCTACGAGTTGTTAATATTTCGGAACTGAGTCTAGTTCCATCGATATCGGTGTATTCTATGATATGATTATTATCATAATAATATTGTTACTATATATATGTATATATATATATATATATATATATATATATATATATATATATATATATATATATATATATATATATATATATATATATATATATATATAGTTTTTCGTTTTACCTCAAAAAACCACAACAGTCTGTTTCATCCGTATAGGACCACCTGATGATTCCTATACGGATGAAACAGACTGTTGTGGTTTTTTGAGGTAAAACGAAAAACTATATTACGCTCTATCTATATGGTATTGAGCACTGTTTTTGTTTCGTAAACCAAAATCTTAAGCTATATATATATATATATATATATATATATATATATATATATATATATATATATATATATATATATATATATACATATATATATATATATATATATATATATATATATATATATATACTAATAGCTGTTTTGCGAAATTGAGAGCAATTTCAAATCTGTTCAATTTTGATACACACTGTATATTGTTGACCATCACAGTTCTTGTGCAATCTTTCCTGGTATAAACGGCCAACCCCGTTCATAGGGCCTTTTCTTAAATTGCGAGGAAGGGGATAGCCATGGAATCGGCTGGTCTCAATTACTGAGCTATAAATATCACAGGACGTGTTTGGCTTAAAAAGTGAAACCGCCGTAATGACGTCACTAGTCCTTATTTCTACTGGTAATTGCCGCTGGTCAACCGCAATCCAAGGCCCCAGACGACTTTTTCACCACACCGGTTTTTAGTGCACCGAAAAGCTGATCGAACGCTATTGTTTACAACTTTAAAAAAAATACCAAGAGAATTAAAATACCTAGTTTTTATATGGCTAACATGGTTTCACAACTCTTATGAAGAAGAAACATTTCTTCTCACCGGTAAGACGCATGAAACTCTTTTCCTGTGCTTTATTTGCATAATAAAATAAATACCTTCAAAAATAAGAAAAGGTACAAATTTTACGAATTTCAAAACGGACGCTGTATATTAGCTCTCTTTAGCACTTTTCTTTGTTTTTTATACTGCCATTAATTTGCATCGGGTCAGGTCTTTATAATTATAGTTTTTTTCTCTGTAGTCCTTTGAAGCGTCCTTCATGATCTATTGGGAATACTGGGTTTGGAAATTATGGATGGAGTTTTTTATCTTTTTTAGTAAACTCCACACTATCAGGTCTGAAAATTTCCAAGCCCTGGATGAATTCAGGCAAATTGTTTTCATATTTGAAGGGTCTTGTAGATGGAAATTATCGAGTGGAGATTTGTACACATTTAGTAGAACTAACCAGGAACACCTGCCTACAAAATCGAGTGAGATGCCAAAAAAATCTCGATATTTACCCATAAACATGGCAAGTATTCTATATGTATATACATAAACTTGTGGTTAGAGCTCGACAACTTATGGTTACAGCTGGCCTCTGTAACTCAATTGGTTAAAGCGCTTCACCGGAATCGTATATGGGCCACAGATTCGATTCCTGCCAGGGACCTGTAGTTGCATTTTTCGCAGCTGTTTCAGATTACGTCTAATAAATGTATATAAATTTCTACTCGATAATTTCCATCAACAAGACCCTGAATCGAGTGAGATGCCAACAAAATATCGAAATTGTTTTCATATATACACTCGGTACAAAAAATACTTTTTAAATTTTAAGATAAAACATTTCCTATTGGTCTGTTCGCAGACACATGCATGCAGTATTAATACTATCACACGAGAATTTGTTAGGAATGTATTAATTTTATAAGCATATTGTTTCTATTCAATAACGAAGAATGTATGTTATTGAATGGCAAACTTTTTGTATACGAAGCCTGCTTGGTTGGTTATGATTTTGATGATATTTGCATGGGGTTGGCTATCCTAGGACGCTTTCCATTAACACGGCCAGACCAGTCAGAACGGTCAAATTGTTCAATGGACACAGAACGTTTGGGTTTCGGGGCTATCTGACCAGAAAATTTAGATAAATTAGAATGAGGTCCATTTTCCCTAGATATTTGAGAAATATAGACCAAATTTTCCCATTGATACAGATAAAAGAATTGGCGGGTCTGACCGGTCAGGCCATTAAATGGAAAGCGCCCACATACTATATTTTTGCTATATATTTGTTCCAACGTCCAACTTTTCATGTAACAGAACTGAATCATACAGTCTCATAGATAAATTAAGATGTAAATGGAAACCATGATAATCATACACTGCGACATGATGAGAAATCGACAAATTAAATTTGGAAATCAATCTTTCGTAACATTTCAATAACATTTCGTAACATTTCAATTTACAGTGAATGTTTATGTTTCCTAACCTATTCCTAACCCTAACCCTGTTCCAACCCATGTACATGTACATGAAATTATTAGCTCATCAACGCTATCGCTCGTCAACGCGTCTAACATTCCATGTGCTAGAAGCCTAGAACTAATAGCGTAATGCATACATTGACTTGAAAGAATAATTTAAGGTCATCCACAGTTACATTAGGTTAGACTAATGATTAGCGCGGCGTTTCAACTGAGTCTAACACCTCTTACGAAGGTAGTAACTGTTGCAAAATTGCAATTATTAGTGGAAATATGAAATAGCTTTTGTTAGATCTCATACACTATTAAGATGCATGGGAAACCATGATAATCCTATACATTGCGACATGGTGAGAAATCGACCAGTTAGGATGGGAAAAGTTTATATTCCTAAACAAAATTCCTAACCCTAAGGGTTGATGTGCTTATGTAGATGGCTCTCCACTTGCATTTTCAACAACTGCTCCTGGTTAGGTCTAAAATTGTATATAATCTTCAGCTCGAAATTTTCATCTGCAAAAACTCTTCACTTAAATTCTATCGAGCGAGGTGCCAAAAAATCTCGATATTTTAACCCTAATTAGCCTCCTGCTCCGAATTCCATGCCTAACCCATCACCTGTTAGACATGAAATTATTAGCCTCGTAAAAGTAGCAAATTTGCTCGTCAACACATGTGGCAAACTCCGACACTATTAATTATACGCCGCTAAAAACTGCTAGCCCGCAGAAAAGTCGATCTGTTGTTTGGAACTTCGCCGTTCGTCCTCGAGCTCAGATTACTTGCGAATGATTATATATCTATATTGCTGCGGCATGTTGTTTTATTATATTGATTATTTTTTCAATAACTCGTAACGCAGTTATCCTGCATCCCACGTAACTGTTACATAACATCAATACACAGGTATTTTATCATGCACTGACTTGACACACAGACATCCAGTATATACAAGACTCAGATAGGATAATATCGCATTTGTTAAAGATGCGGTAAAGTCCGTTCTGCGCATATATTCTGCGCATCAAAACATTCCATCAGTGGGGGAGCAACCTTTGGAATGTTGTTAATATTTCGCACCTTCCGAACTTTCTTGAATTAAATCTCTAGTCTGTATTCATTTACAAGCATAACGAACCAGAAAAGTGTTAAAAATTCAGTATAATATATATCTAATCATATTTTACAACTGTAGCAGTGAGTTCAAAATGTAAACAAAGCGTTTGTTTACATTACGGACTTCACATCACCTTTAAATAATGACTACTTTTATCACAAGATTTAAAGCTTTTGTGGTATTCTTATAAATTATTTGCTTCCAGTGTTATGTGTTATAACTTATAAGATATAAACTCAAGATGAACTATGAACAATCACTCTTGCTTCATGACGCATTAAATATCACAACACTGTTTTTATATTTAATGCACTGTCAGTGAAATGATGAGTCTATGCGCAGCACAAGGCCAATGAAATCACGGATAAAAGCAAGAGAAACATCACCCGCACGCAAACTGAAATGTTATTAAAAGAAAGGTACAACATTCTAGCGGAAATGCCTACGCATACCAATCTGCTGCAACGTTATCAGCCTGTGGGAATTATGCATTGGAAGCAAATTCTTCAACTAAAGCAAACTTTTGGCACGTGTTACTGCGTATTCTAGAGTTAATTCTTTAACATTACAAACCTAACTCACCCAAAATCAAAATGTCTTTAATACCAATCAACTTTAATCCCAACGAGCTTTTACTTCAAAGTTCCAACACACAAGTTTAATATCGTCATGCATCGAGAATGTTCGACCAATTCACTATTACAAGCCCAGCTAATTGAAATACCTGCATGTATAAGCAATAGGCAGTTAATTAAAAATAGTCGAGAACAATAATTGATTGGAGATCATGGAGAGCTGTGGAATTTGTAAACAAAAGAGTAAGACAACAACATTTTTTGCCCTTATCTCTATAATGTATGCAGCGCATTTAATTTGTACAGCCATGCACTTATTGTTGGCGACGTGCGTAATAACAAATATCCTCAAGATACTTGAACATCCCGTGCTTTCCGAAAACGCTCAGGTGCATTATAACTCCATAACAACAAGCGATTCGTAGGTTTTTTTTTTACAATTAAATATTGGTCATAGCGGTCATAAACCGAAGCTAAACATTGCCTCTCTCACGCAGCTGGTGATATGTGCGACTTGCTGTGCCGACAGAGTGTTTAAAAAAACTGAATAGATTTGAAATTGCTCTCAATTTCGCAAAACAGCTATTAGTATCCAGTATATATATATATATATATATATATATATATATATATATATATATATATATATATATATATATATATATATATATATATATATATATATATATATATATATATATATTTCATATTTTTATGTCTTTGTTTGACATTCGACAAAGCAGCAACACTCGCTAAGTACGATGCGCGCATAAGTCTATACAATGAACTATAGAGTGCTCAAGAACGTGGTAGAGTATATATAACTGGCAGACAACCCTGGTCTTACAATGCTTCTCCTAGGTTTGAAATAGTGTGCGAAGATGGGAAGAAATAGAAGAGGTCGTGGCCGTAGAGGAACGAACCGTACACACGACTATGTAATTTTAATATCAATAATGAATAAAATTCTTTACGTTTACAGTGTGGTTTCCTTCCTTTTAAGTGTCCATCCAGGGTCACAAGGCCTGGACACTACGTTTGATCACTATGATCACGTAGTGAACTCACGAGTGGAAGGAAATAAAGTAAGCAAGACCTTGAGAAAAAAACTCAACAAAAATATCGAAATCATATATATATATATATATATATATATATATATATATATATATATATATATATATATATATATATATATATATATATATATATATATATAATGTTTAATAGAGTTGAAAATTTGTAATCCAGGCATTTTATTAATTGAATAATTATTGAAATTATTTTTTTCTCTGGATTGTAATTTAGTTAAATTACAATGCAGAGAACAAAATAATTTGTAGAATTATTCAATAAATATATTATAATTAATGAAAGTTCTCCGAATTGAAATATACTTTTATTAAGCTTTCGACTCGGTACTTCGAGCTTTGTTCAGAATACTGAGATTAAAATTACATATGTACATTATTTAAAGTTTTGCGGTGTTGCTACGTTCTTGTATACGTCGAGACCGTCTGATTGGGTGTTCCTTGGTTGATTTGATCTCATTGCTGGTTGAAGAATGCGTTGTCGTGATTGAGTGAATTCCGCTGCTACTGATGGCATCATTGGAATGTTTGGATTGTTGTGTTGCGCGCGGATGTTGCAGGAAGTGTAAAGTGTTATTTGGAAGTTAGTATTAGTATTTTTCATAGTATCGTCGTTATTAGTAGGACATTTACGTTTTGTTTTAAGTTGTATCAAATACGGAATTTTAACAGCAATCACACCACTCAACACAAAATAAGCTGTATAAGAAGCTTATTTAACATTTACGTGTTAAATAATTAGGACATTATTATTATTTGTTATTTAGGACATTTACGTGTTGTTTTATGTTTTTCAAATACTGAATTTTAACAGCAACCACCCTACTCAACACAAAATAAGCTGTACAAGAAGCTTATTTAAAATTAACCAAATAGAGAGGCACTGTAACACAGAACAAGCTAATAAAACAAACAGAATACAAATATCTATATAGTCTATGCTCGACTTTCATGAAAAATAACTATACCCTAGGAACTTCATTAACAAAATACTAACAAAAATACGTAACAAACAACAGAGTAACATACCAGACGAACAACCTGAACAAGCAAGGACAAGAATAACTACCTTACTTAAACAGTACATCTGTATATATACAATACTTTCCGCATTCAATTATATATATATTGAAACAGAAAATGGTTTTACTGACATAAGAATCTGCCTCTTTCAAATGTTTTTCGTCTTTCTATTGGGTTATTCATACATACAATACCGTTGTTGAGTGGAAATTTATGACTCATATTTCACCATCTGAAAATGTTGAAAGATTTCGATTCATCGTGGAGTGGCGTTGATTTATCAGTTATTTGTTCAGCTATGTTATTGCCAAACGTGAATTTAGTTCTTTGTACGTTTGCATGGCGATAAAACTAATGTACGTGGTGTTTTCACAACCAAAACTATTATAAATTGGATTTGGTGATGCCCTGACTTTCAACAAGGTTGAAACGCCTTCAGCACGCTGAAAACATCAATACATACGCGCGATCCATTATTTTAATAAGGCATGGTCATACTCTTTCCCTGCTGCAAAACAAAAAATTGTGATTATGCACTATGCAAGTTTGTAAATATCCATTATCTCAATGTTGCACTGATCGACCGATTCAAATAGTCGTGGGAAGTGT